CATGTGGTGGCTTTCCTGGCAGGAGCTGACTGCTGCTTCAGGCCGGGGATGTGGTAGGGGTGGCTTGSTGGCTGCTGCCCCCAGACTGGGATGGGAAAGGAGTGGAACAGCAAGGATCTGGCTTCCTCAGCTATTGTACAGGCCTACCACAATTTACATGGGAATTACACAAACTCGTGCAGTCCATTTATAGAAGCGCTGATTAAGTTTAGGAGCAAACACTTTGAACTATCTGCCAATTCCTTTGTGCACTGTCAGCCTTGAATTACTCAATCTGGAACTATTTTACCCATCTTTTAGATGTCTGAGTTTAATACAGAGATTATAGAGGGTAAAGTTAGGGCAGAGCTGACCCCAACTGCCAAACTGTTTGAAAAAGGGGATATTGAGTCAGCTTTGATCCAACACACATTTGAAATATACATTMAATTACTTCTAACACCAGATGGGTACAGCTAAAAAAAGGACCTGGCTGCATACTTAATTTACAATCTACCAAACTCTTTGTAAATTAAAAATAGCAAAATACTTTTCAAATTTTTCTTGCAGATCATATTCTTTCACCCCTCTTTCACCTGCCACCCTGGTCCTCCAGCTGCTCTAGAGGTAGCTGGAGCAGAGCAAAGTGCCTTCAATCTCCTCCGCAACCAAAAAGATTTCTCTAGAGCCTAGATATCCTGCTTGCACTGGGATTCCCTCTCACTTCCAAGAAATACTTCCGCAGAAAATTGTGATAAACAGGAAAAAATCCATTTAAGAACTATGTAACAGTTTGTTCAGTAGAAGAAATTGGTAATTAGTGTGTGGAAATTCCCTCTCTTGACCTTTACAAGGTGAAAGATGAGAGCACTACAGAGTTACAGCAGCAGAGGACAGAGAGTACCAAATGCCATTGTGCTGGGGAAGGATTTATGTAATTAGATACATCTGGAGGAAAGGATTAACCACACGTCATGATACAGCCTGAATCAACTTTTTTTAGTTAAACTTCAAGGATATCCCTGCATACAAACCACGTGTTTGSAGTATAAACAGTGACTGACTCATTCAAGCAAATACTCATCAGGTATAGTTTTCAACAACAGCAGAAGGCTGAATGACTTTAGACTTTTTGGGAGCTTTTGGGTTTTTTCCTCTTGCCTGGATTATATAGCAAAAATAATTTCCATTTTATATTATCATTTAGTAAGGGTTAAACTTTAATGTCTAATCTAAAATGCTACAGTAAGGAAGCAAAGGGCTGAAAGGAGGTGCTTGCTAAGGCCCAGTGCCACGGTTTTACAGTCACTGTGCAGTGCCTTCAAATCAAATGATCTCAGCATTCCTGAGCCCTCAAAAAATCTTTGTTCCCATCCTCATGCTGTCTCTTTTTTTTCTTTTTTTTTTTTCTTTTTTTTTTTTTTTTAAGTAATTGATGCAGCCACATGGTGATTTCTACCAGGAAACAGACCTGGAATAAAACCCACCGGGAAAAAAAAAGGGGGATTGGTGATTATAGTTAGCATCATGAACCAGAGAAACTGCCATAGGATGTTMCAGTAAATCTGCCAAGTCAATAATGTGCATGATGATTTGCTAAGTAAGTGCTGGTTATGAGGACTGAAGTTGCCTGGGAAGTCACATATCTAGTTTTCTAGAATGTCAGAACACTTTGGGAATTGAGTAAAAATCATTCCTTCAACTTCTGCTTTTTTTCTGTCTCCTCCCTCAAGGTACCTGTGCCTTGCCACATCACCCAGCCCCTCCCCAAGATGCCTAAGGGATGCCTAAATGTTAGGCTGTTTGAAAAAGAGTGAATGTTTCCTCTTTTGTTTTCTTATTTTAATCGTATGACTAAGAATTAGCTCGAGTCTTTGTCTTCAGCAAAGCAGCTGCAGTTGTGGAAGCTAAATCACTAAGTTGAACAGTACTTTTTATTAAATTAAGATCAGAATGAACTTAAATTACCATGTTTTTGTCACTTAAATCTTAGGCCTTCTCCTRTGTTTAACAACACCCTTTATTTTGCATTCTCTCTCAATCACATAAGGGACATGTTCCAAAGAAAGTAGAAATTTGCAAATAGTAATACTCAAGACTGTGTTAGAAACAGAGCAACAAACTTATTTTCCCTTTCAACCACRCTGCATACTAACTACATAGTCTAACAGAAAGGTATATAAAATAATATCCTGACTGGGTCTAACACTCTAGTAATGAACCCTTGAAAAGAACACAGACTGAGTCATACCTGGACACTTAAAGTAATTTAGCTTTTTGACAAGTAGAATAATTTAGCTTTTGACAGGCTGGACAGCTTTAACACAGGTCCTCAGAAACACTGCTCATTTACTACCTTTCTAGTCAAACAGAAGAGTCACAGCATACCTCTCTCTTTCAAAGTGGGACTGTTATGCTATCCTAGCCAGCCAGCTTGACCTCAGCAGCCTTCACTCTTAGCTTTTTCCACCCTTTGTGCTCTRCCTCCCACTTCTCTTGCATTATTTCTCCTCTCCATCTTCTCAGTTTGGCACTGTGCTCCCCTATGTACATTTRAGGACTTAATAAGGCAGGCTGTAAATGCCCCATATGTACCACTCCACATTTTCCATTTGGTTGTCACAGGCATGAGGACAGGAACCTCCAAAAGAGGATGTTTTGTGGCAGTCAGCCCTCAAAGGACAGGCTACAGCATTCAGGGAGGTCAGSATTCACAGCTAAGGGACTACTTGGCAGCAACACCCATAACCAGAAAAGCAACACATGAACAGATTACTGCGGCCTTCCCTTCCCTCATCTGCAAAGAGTTTGGAGACAGAAGAAAAGATTGCTCTGCTTTGTGAGTTTCTTTCTGTTTTTAGAAGTTTTGAAAAAAAAGTCAGGAAACAAGAATACATTCTTCTTGTCAGAAGCATCCAAAATAAGAACAGAGTCCTTTCCTGGGACATGTTGCAACACAGAAGTTCAGAGTGATGAAGAAATAAAACAGGATCCACTAGCATCCAGCATGATCTCACATTTAAACATTTAAACAATGTTTCCACTTGGAAAAAACTATAAACTCGATAATTAATACTGTAATTGCATATAAAGACATCCAGCATTAAAAAAAATTAAAAGTATCTCAATTGAGAGGATCAATACAGAAGAAAGTCTTCAGTAGTCCATGTGTCTAGGTTATTCCTTTTAGGAAGTGAAGGAGCTATTTTATTGCTTAGAGAGCAAATACACACTTCCCATGCCAAAATAGATAGTATTCAGCCAGTGAGTAGATACAGCTCTATGGCAGAAGCAATGGGCATCTCCATTCTCTCACGCAATGACTCCAGACTCACAAAATCARGATCCAGAAAACAGGAGCAGCAAAAGACTGGCTGGTAGAAGCTCCAATGATTAGTATCTTTTGTGCATGACAAAATGTAGAAATAACAGCATAACTCAACTCATAGGACAACTAAATTCTAGCTACGASAACCTTCTCCTGGAGGTAAGCTGGGGTGAGCCCAAGTGACTGTTCTGTTGCACAGGAAGGAAAGGCAGGTCTTCCCAAAAATCCCCCTAATCAGTAAATAGTTGAGATTCAAGAGAGATTTGACCTATATGGAACAACCTAAATGAAAGCTGATGCCTCCACAGAGTCCTTCTGGAACTCTGGCATTGTGGATCACAACAAGCTTCCATTACAGAACAAGCTACGGAGAAAATCAAAAGCAATTTATGCTGCTCAGCATGCTAACACCTCCTAGTAAGATTTGTCATCAGAAATCAGGAGTAATTACCTGTCAAAAGCAGGTTGGCTCTTTGCTCCATTGCCTCCAGTTTCTACAAGCCATTCAGAACCCTTTTTAGAGTTCCCACAGTGGGACAGGCATTCACTTAGSAAGGACATTCATTTATCTTCCTCATCTTTGGGAGCTTAGATCTGTCTTTCTAGATCTTAAAATATTGTGCCAATACGTTCTGCCTGGAATTCTTCTCAGATAATCAACACTTCCTCCCCGATCCCACGCAAACAGCTTATGGTTTTTTTTTCTGTTTTTTAGTAAGTAAAGTACCCTCTTTGTGGGACAGTATCTCATGAAACTACACTGCCATTCTTGAACATATTTTAGCAAGTTTATTTAATCTCACTTTTATCTACTGTTATGCTATCCTAGCCAGWGTATATACTACTTCTTAACAATAGCTTTTAAGTCATTCTTACAATACAAATGTATTTCTTGTAATTACTAAAAGTAAATTTCTTCTTTTATACCAAGCTCATTTATAATGAGCCCTTTTAATTTCAAGAGTGTGAAAATTCAAATTCTGGCTTAGGAATACATATGAGCACCTACTTTGCTACCCCTAATTTGAAGTAAATATTTGATTAACAAAAAAACCCAAATAAACTTATGCAAATTATTAGTGAAATGCTACAAGGGAGTATCAAGAATTCTCAAACATAGGTATTGACAAAACAGCAGGCTTTTTCTTCTACAAATCAACAAGTGGAAAGAACTGAAGCCAGTTTGAGTAGCCCTTGTCAAACAGGACTCAACTCTCAAGGCAAAAGGAWGTGAAATAATATTTAAATGTGTACAGGATGTGGTTTGAACCAAGTAAGAGGTTATTTTAATGACAACTTTTGTCAGCATAACTATATTAGACTACATTTTCTACACAGCATATTCACTCTGTTCTCCCAAATCTCTGTAACTATGAAAACTTACACCATCACACAGTGTTTGTGTAATGATGTTATTATTGATACCTTAGTTGTAAATATAAACATTGAATGCATGAGGAAATTTGGGTATGACATTTTACAGCTAATACATATTTACAGGCAAATATGTAAGAAGAACCATCTTCCCACTAATAATTTTTAATTCRTTAAACCTAGATAACTCTTTGAAGTCACTGTAACATGCTACAAAAGTATTTGCTCATTTTCTCTAGAGGGTAACTAATAATGAGGCACTCACTGTTTTACAATCAGTATACACAAAACACTTAATGAATATTTAACCAGCACTTACATTTTCACACTGCATCCTTCTGGCTTTTATGTGGGAAACATTGAGTCCATCAATAACAATATCAAACGGAAGTCGATTTTCCACAAATGTCTGAAAGGCCTCAAATTCCTGAAATAAATAAATAAATAAATAAACACAGGGGAATAACACGTTGAGTTTAACAAAAAGAAATTCCATTCAATTTTTATTTTAAAAAGTCCAAATGTCTCTCTTTTCYTTTGCTGGCTACACTTCACATCATTACTTGCTAATTTCCTAAAACAACCACACAAAAAAACCCCAACCCATCTCTTAAGCCTTAAGTGTTACATTGGATACATCCAATAAAACCATTACAACCAAAAAATATATTACAACTGAAAACCAAAACTTTACAGTCATCCAGATTTTCAAAATTACAATCTGAACTGTACATTTCCATAAAGATACGTGTTCACACAGCATCTGCTAAACAAGGCCACTTTACAAACCAGTAGACAGTTTCACTACCACTAGCTTTTATCATATCCAAATGTAAAATAAGCATCATTACTTAGGTTCTCTGGAAGAATTATGAAATCTCTGAATGCCAGTCAGTATTTAAATACACATTCATTTAGAAGGACAGCACTCCATTTGTGAGAAACATGTGGCTTTAAAGCTAAAATAATGAATTTCAGAAATTCCGAATATGTCAGAAATGTAATGCAGTGATTGAGCAGAACAGCAGCATCTATTCAATTTTTCCATCAGAAGGAAACCACAACAGCCTTAGGTTTGAGAGTCCATAAGAGAAGAATAGACTACTAAGCTATAATAAAATCTTGTGGAATTTCTCCCTTGATTTTTGAGGAAAGATTTAGTATTGTTTTTGCAGACACTTGCATAAGATTTCGACTTTTTACTTCTGACTGTTGTTAATAAGCACAAGAACTCTGCACTATCCTGATGGGCAATGACCTAGTTTCATAAATTATCTTTCTAGTATCAAATAAGATTTATTTATCACTGACAAAGCTTTCACTGTCCAGGCTATAAATTAACTTTCACAGGAACTCAAAACAATTAATATTTCATGCCCTCTGCAAAGGATTCAAGAAGTACTGTTCTAATCTTCCCTTCTTCCATGTAGCAATATGGCAACATTTGTCTAAATGAAAAGCATTGCCTCAGCACCCAAAAACATGTACAGCATATACAATTCTTCCTTGGAGAAAGAAATGAAAGAAAGAATTTATTTTTCCAGGAAATAAAATGCTGTCAGGCAGTAACAAATAATCACCAACTTCAAATTTAATTGGAATGTTTATGACAAATTATACTAGGAAAAGGGTTACTTATATTAAGAGCACAAACCAAGAGACATAAGATGCCTCACTTAGCTGTTAAAATTCCAGGAATAATTTCCAGGTGAACAGAGGTATACCAGTCAAAAGCACAGTGATAAGAACACACATAATACAGTGCTCAGCCTAGCACCCTAGGAATTAATAAGCATTTATGTGATCTTTCATTTCTCCATGGCTCAAAGAAATGTTACTATTGAAAAAGTACAAAAAGATGGCCAAGGAAATCATCACCGAAAACAAAAATAAATTGTTGACCCTTGTGAAGCATTTTCCCCACCCCCTGCCCCAATCTCAACATATTTTCTATGGATGAATGAAAATTCTCATTGCCACCTGACAGGGACACCAAGACAGAAAAAGTCACTAGGAAAGGCAGCAGCAGAGATGGCAGGTAAAAACAAGTACAAAACCAAACAACATGGATTCCTGACTTCTTGGCTTACACTGTCCAGGGACTTCCCCACAGTTCAAAATCAGGCAAGTCATTACTGCAACACTGAATGTCTGTTTGAAATGTGGGAGAGATGAAAAGAAGCAAAACACATGCAGTCCAAATGAAGGTAAGATAGCAAATCTCTGAGATAAAGATGAGTGAAAACAGAATAGACAAAAGAAAGTGGAAGCAGATGAAACACGTGGTAAACACTCCAACAGTGTTATTTTCTCAATGCTAACAAATGGCACTATTATTCAAAGTAACATAGTTACAGTCAAGCAGACATTTTTAAGAAGCAAACTGTAAAGTAATCTTGTCTGTTGGGCCTAGTTTAATACACAACAAGCACTTTGCAGAGAATTTRTAAAGTGGTATTTTATTTYAAGTGGCAATAGTTACAGAGCAGTTCCTGAAAGGGTGTTTTTCCCTGATAAGCAGAGAAGACTCTTTTGTTCAGGGAATATTACAGCATGAGTCAGGGAAGCAACGGAGGGGCTCAGTGGGTCTGCAATCTCCTCKGCCCACTCTCCTTGGATTCCTCTTCTCTCCCAGAAGGGCAGATGGCACAGGGCTGCCTGAAGGGTCCCAAGGAGAGGCATCAGGATAGGCTCAGCACTTCTCAGAATGCCATCTCCTGTCTGTCTGGGATTTACTTCTGGAGCTGGGGAGATACTGCAACATTTTCAGTGTCATTCCTTTGGCCACTGCACTTTTCCCCATCATTTCCTCCTGTCCTTTTCTCCTAATATTTTCAACAAATGCCTGTCAGACAGTATGCCCTGACAGCCTCCCAGATGAACTCAACTGTTTTGCTCTATAAGTAAAATATCTATATGTAAACCGTGCAAAACAGGGAGAGAAGTTTGCTGGTGGCAAGGAGACTTACCCATGCAGGGAGATGAGTTAATAGCAAATGCAGAAGACAAATGGCCAAATTTAATTCATGTCACCAAATACAGAAGACTCCAACGAAAAGCCTCAGACAGACTAAAAATCCCAAAGGTCAGTTCATTTTCTCCTCTATTTCCCCAGCAACACATGACAGTGCTTCTTTCCTTTTCCAGAAAAGAAACCATTAAGAATAAATAAGTAGATTCATGCCTCCTCCCCTGGGAGACAGTTTTTGAGATCCCCTGTTTCTCATCCTCTCTGGACATAGGGAAGGAAAAAGGCAAAGCCTGGAAATAAGCAGCAGGCTACCTCATCCAGATATAACACAAACTTACACTGTAGGAGTGTAGTGGGTTCTGGCTGAGATGGAGTTAACGTTCCCCACAGCAGCCCTTACTGTGTTTTGCACAGTAGCTAGAAAGGTGTTGATAACACAGCAGTGTTTTAGCTACTGTTGAGCAGTGCTCCCACAGCACTGGGATGTGTCTCCAACATTCCCCCTCACCACTGGCTGGCAGTTGGCAAAATCTTTGGAGGGGACATAACCAAGACATCTGACCAAAGGGATAGCCCATCCATATGACACCTCCTCAGAACAACATCTAAGAGAAAAACGGGGGCAAGGTCATGATAAGGGCATTCCTTATCATGACCTCTGTTTTCTGGAGCAACTGCTATGCATACTGATGCTCTGCTTCCCAGTGACTGGCTGGCTGTCACCTGCCAATGGAAAGTAGACAATAAATATTTCTTTTCTTTTTTTTTTTTTTTTTTKYTYCTGCATGCAGCCTTCGCTTTTCCTTTAATAAGCTGTCTTTATCCTGATTCACAATGTTTYTTTCCATCTCATTTTCTTCCCCTACCGTCCTTGTCCTATTGAGAGGAGTGACAGGGCAGCTTAGTGGGTACTTGATGTCCAACCAAGACCAACCCAGCTACAAAGAAAGTGTACAATTCAAATGATGCTGATCTTTTAAAGATTTGTCTGGATTTTATGCAGATATTACTCCAGCCACACTAGTAAACAGATGATCCAACCACAATTCCCTAAAGATATCTCCCCCACTAGCTGTTAGAAGAAATTGAAGGCTTTATTTCTAAGCAGTAAATGAAGTAGAGCACAGCTGCAGTTAGGGTACAACTAATCAAGAGAACCCAGACATGATGGCCATCAATGCAGTACAATGATGACTTGAAGGTTACAGAATCACAGAATAAGCTTAGTTGGAAGGGATCCACAAAGGATCATTGAGACCAACTCTTGGCCCTGTATATGACCATCCCCAAGACTCAGGTTGGTTTAGACGAAAAAACCCAAGCTATTCACAAAAGCTTTCCCTTCCAAATGGAGACTGCAACATGTGATCTACACACCCACCTTTGTATGCCACAGGAGAATTTACATGGAAACATCTGCTCAACAAGACAAAGGGCACTTCTGATGACTCCCTACAATAAACCAACAAGTAGCAAAACAGATCTCTCTCTATCTCTCCCTCCCTYTCTCTCCAGCTAAGAGCACCAACACAAACACAGCAAACCTTACACTGATTTCTAATTTGTTCTGACAGAGTACATTTCACAAAGTTTCTAAGGAAATGTCCATTTTCCCAGCCTTGAAAACATGACTCAAACTGAAGGAACTTAACTAAAAATACATTTTGCATTGCTAATTGACATGACTCTTAAGGCTTGGGTTCTGTGGAGAAGTACTGTAAATTGAGTGGGGCTGTTACCTCACTGCAGGACTTCCCCCCACACACAGAGCACAGCCCTCACGTTGATATCCTGTTTCACACCACGAACTAAAGAAAAGGGAATTTTAAAAAATCCACCTGCTTTCATGCATTGCCTTACTGGGAAAATAGGGGAATGCCAACTATGCAATCTTTAAAAATGATTCACTGCACCTTTTATTAAAAAAAATTCTTTGCAAATGGATACACACTGACTAAATCAATTTGAAAGCAAAAGCCAGCTGTAACAAACCCAAGATGGAATTAATATTGATGTAAACAACTGAAGAGGTTTAAAATAATTTATTGTTTAATCACTAGGGTGTGGGTGGCTCAAGTCCATTCATATCTCGGCAAAAGCATAAAGAGTCACATTTTTTTTGTATTCCAAACCAGCTGGATGGCTCATCCACTATTTCACCCTCATTTTATATTGGTACYGCTGCTCCCCCAGAAAGAGGTGTTTCTACCTTCTCCCCTCCTCCAGCCATTCATTCCTGGCTTTGTTCCTTCACCTACCTATGCACACACATTGTTAACATATGGAGAAAGACTCAAGCCCATAAAAAGTATTTAATCTGCACCAGTTTCCCTGTTGACATTACAACACAGATGATTGTCCTGGCATGAAAGGACATGGAATGCAGCCAGGACATGGAATGAGATTGGTACCAGGTGAGATTACTGGGATCACCTTTTCCCATAGGTAGCCCTGAC